GAAGCGGGGCATCAGCTGCCACGAAAAGCTCTGCAGTTTCTCCTCAAGCTCATAATATTTGTCGATACATTCAAAGAAAATAACTGAAACTTATTGAAATAGGAAAAAAAAAAAAAAAGAAATTTGAATTTCGCATTAATCATTAATCTCCTTAGGAGCTCTTCCAAGACCCTCCTCTTTATCAAACCAGTAAGGCATCCTCGAGCGCCTTAATTCATTTAATTTCAGTTTCGTAGGCAAAATTCAGCATTTGAAAACGTTCAAGATGTAGTCTAAAACTTCGCAGTCAATGGAACAAGGAAGTACAATGATCTCTTGGAAGTTAGGGAGTTGGACAAAGGAAACGGGAACTCAACAGGAGCAGCACTCCGGCAGCAACATATTGGCAAACATGTTTATTTACAACCCAGAAAAGAACAAGGGCGACGCTCGTTGGGTGTGGAGAAGGGTGGTGAAGGAAGAAAGGGAGGGCGGTGGGCGACCACCACCTAAGAAAAACCAGAATCCACAACCCAGACGCATATTGCCATTGTCAGGAGGAGGCCAGACGCATACGAAGACGACGAAGACGACGACGACGACGTCAAACGATTCCAGAAATTTCACTTCAAAAATTTGCGACGTTTAGCGCGCGATTGCTACAAATCAAAGCGACCTTCTTCAGCCTGCTCCCGATTCAGCAGTATCCTCCATCCCCCTTCCATTCCAGACAGCCAGCAAGCTATTTTAGATAAGTAAAAAATCCTTAAGAAATGCCAGAAGCATTCGGAGCAACATATGCCCGCCAAATCAGGAGCAGACAAAACAAACAAAGCCCAAAGGACAGACGGTTGAACACGGGCCGAGATAAAGGTCGGGAGTCGAAGACGCAACGAAGACAACCAGGCAGGCAAGTCGCAACCGAAACTGATTTAAGTATAACGACAGAACAAAAACAAAGGCAACTTTTTTTGTAAAGAAAGGAAAAGTTAACGAAGGGAAGGGAACGACGGTTTTAGAAATGGCAGACGGACCGAAATGATTATCTTGATTTATACATTACAATTTTAGATGACTAACAGCTGAGTGCAGAATAATTATCGCGATATAAGCCAAATATTTTAAATTATTTACAGCAAATCATAATCAAAACAAGGTGGCTAACAAATTTGATAGCTCTATCTGTTTGATTTAGTTTTTGACACTGATTATGGACAAAAGGAAGAATGGACGTGGCTAAATCAAGAAAACTAGGCTAGAGATGTGTCCCCCAGCTTGTTTGTCATCAAACAAATCTTTAGCTTTGTGCACTAGGTGTTGAAGGACATAACGGACAAATACAAATAAGAAATAAATTAAAACTAAAATGACTACTAATCTAGACTGCTGACATGCCAACACAATTTGCCGATCCTTAAGTATATTCCTGGGGGCAGGCAAGTGAATCATCCCACGTCTGCAGCTGTCGGTAAACAGGACAAATGTCGATGGCTGTCTCGGTGTCTCACTGCTTCCTTTGGTGCGTAAACTTAATCGTAGACATCGCAGACGACGACGACGCTATGCCACTACCCACTCCACCTCCAAGTGATTTGTTGGCCAAAGTTTGAGAAGGAGGGTACTCCTTCACCAGACGACGTCAGGCGACAGCCCAAAAATTACCCAAACATAAAAAGGGCCACTCCCAGTGCTGGCGGCTGCAGAAATTTACGCGTCTCTGAACTTTGACCCTCAGATGATGCTGCTCTGCGACGACTATAATTGTGACCTCTGTGGTAGTCTGGCATCGCCCACCACATGCCACAACTTCCCTTCGCTCTCACCGTTTGCCCCGTCAAATTTTATGGCGTGCTTTACTTCTGCCTTTGTTTGGCACTTTTTTTATGCGAAATTAATTTAGAAAACTTTTTCTCGGAACCGAAACATGTACGAACGATACGCAATTCACAATTCTGGCGAAATGGCGGGGAGTGCCACTTTTGGGGTTAATTCCGGCCTGTTTGGAAGGGTTCAGAAAGGTCAAAGTTCATGCGTGAACAAGGCCAGAACACATACAAATTTTGGTATGCTGATAAGAAAGTCCTGACTACAATTTAATGACAAGTTACAAGTTAGTTATTTAGCTGATATTTATAGTTATAAAGACTTGATTTTAGCACTTAGGATTTCCCCCAAGGAAATCTCGGTCTCCCTAGGGCTATGTTTTGATCCGACTGTACTTAGTGACGCAGCCTAAGAACTTTGAACTCGTTGGCTTTGCTTATTAACTCGCAAACAAAGACTCTCAGGGACTCGGCTCTTTGCTCATGGGTTAACAACCTTCTTAGTCATGCATTTACAGTGTGATCCATGTCCGGCATTTCCCCATTGGAAGAGGAACGCACACCAATACCAGAAGAAGCTCTCTCTCCCAACCGATCTTTTTACCGCATCCTACATCGCAGAATCGCAATAAAAAGGTAGCATCTGTTAGATATAAAACCATCAACACGAGACGCGAGCCGTCCCGCTCTTTGTCGTCGCTCCTGGCATTGAAGAAGATTCTTCTTCTGGCTGTGCATCGAACTCTGATACTACACCCATCTTTTTCTCTCTTTCTTCGCGTCTATCACCGTCTTACTCACCCTATGTACCCACTAGCAACAAGCCAAAGAACAACAATAATTAAGCTTCACCTAGATCAGAGTCCACAAAAAAAAAGAGAAATAAATAAATAAACCATAAGAAATAAGTTCAGAGATCCACAAAGAATTCTTCTGCTTCTTCTTCCTACTCTTTTTTCACGTTTTGGCGGGCGGTTGAGCGAATGCTGGCGCTTGGGGTGCGACAGAGACAGGCTGGGGACTGGAAACGTGGGAAGGCGCACAGGCGCATAAAAAAATCCCCAAGCCGCAGACAGTGCAAAAACAACAACAACAAAATGCAAACTGGAAGGCAGGTCGGGCAATGCAGGGAAGGGCAGAGGACAAAGAAGAAGTCGAAAGAGGTCCAAAACCAGAACCAATTGGAAAATGGAATGGAATCGAATCGAAGCGCAGTTAAATAAAATTTGCTCTCTATGCCCAGTGTTTATGTATGTTTGTTTTGTGTCTGGGGAACACACACACACAAAGGCACACATGCACATAAATAATAATGAACGGGGTGAATGGACGCAAGGTGGCGTCGCGGTCGCAGCGTCAATGCTTGTTCTTGACTTGGTGAATTTTCGCGCCAAAAATCGTTCCCTTTTTTGTTAGAGTATATAAGCTTTTGTGTACACTGAAGGAGCAGAATGTATATCTGGGCACACTAAATATGTACATTTGAGCCTGGGCACACTAAACATCAATTGACAATCTTAAATGCCTTAAACGCTTGGCAGCTCAGTACGGGTTGTTGCACCAAAATTATTGCCCCCTAGCTAAGCAGTTCAAATCACAGTGACATCTAAACCTGGGCACGATAAAGAACCAAATTTTAGACCACTTGCACATCGAATGTTATTAAAAAATTCCTTTAATTTTTGGTATTTTTTCAGCCAGTAATACCTTTGATGTCTAAAAACGTATGAGAATCTCCACTGTAGACGAAATGCACCTCCTCAAATCTTTATGCAATGTATGAACCTTTCGCGCCAAAAGCGTTAACCTTTGGCAGCTGTTGTTGGTGTTTTCGGTTTTTTCGGTTGCTCCGCAGAGTTGACTTTGTTTTGACGTTGTCCAGACTGCACACACACAAACAAACAGTCCAAAAGGGGAGAGCGCAGAAAGAGAGCCCCAAAAAGCCCTTTGGCCATGATGATGCGCCACAATGGGCGTGGCACTTTGACGGCGAGTGGAGAGAGGTGAGAATCAAGAGTCAAGAGTCGAGAAGCAGCAACAGAAACAGGAGCAGAGAAACCATCCAGAGAAGCTTCTGCTTCTGCATGTGGGCTCCCTTTTGGTGTTTTGTTTTTCGCTTTGGTTTTGGTTCAATTCAGTTCATTTCTCTACGATTCTGTCGCCCGTCGCTGCTCCCCCTTTGGGTATTTCCGTTTTGCTTTGATCCCCTTATTCTGTCTGGGGGCTAAGAGCGAGTACACATTCGTTTTGTTTTTGCTCTCATTGCCATTGCACTGCACTTCGCTTGCCAGTCCGTCCGTGTGCCTTGCCCTTCCCTGTCCTGCCCAGATACTCTTCGTAGCTCACTGTTCCTCAGTTCCATGTTCCATGTAATGGCCCATCGTTTCCGTCATTCCCATTGTCGTTTGTTGGCTTTGTTTACAAGCATTTGATGGACCACTAACACCGCACATTCGCAGATACAGATACACCACGCTCCCAGAATGCGCGGGATATTCCTATACTTTTCTCCTTTAGTTCTTTTTTCCCCCTTGCTAAAATGGCGAGAAAATTGTAATTCTCGTTGCTGGCGCTGTCACTGGCTCCCCCTTTCAGACACTTCCCCCTCATTCTTATCCTGGCCATCATCATTCCCATTACCAACCATTGCGTCGGTTTCTTTATTCTTTTTATTAGTTGTACTTTATTGAATTCGCCGATTGAATGAATTGCTCAATGAGCTGCCCGCCGAAGACGTGCGGATGATGAGCAGCAAATTGATGGGGGATTTCCACGCGAGGCTTTCCCTCAGATATCCAAGCCCCAATCCGCCCAAATTCCCCAAAAGCTTCCGTTCTTATTTCTGGCCCTTTCTTGAGTGCAAAGTGCCAGTTGGCTACAGGGAGTGCAAATGGGAGAAGGAGAATGGCATTTTCACCCAAAATTATGACATTTAGTGGTGCCCCACAAAAGGATACTCAAAATAGTTGGAGTTAACTGCGAACTATTTCTAAATAAGAAATATACATGATTTGTATATTTTTGTATTTTAAAAGATATGGTTAAGTAGAAATAAAGTTATTATTTATTGTTACTACTAATGTGTTTCGCGAATGTTGATAACACGTTTCATTTTAAACGAATTTGTGACACAAAATAATGGGGATAAAAAAAAACTTAAAACTCAATTTTTTATCTTTTTATTGTAAGCTATTTGATTCTTCCCTCAAAATCGGTTTTCAAACTATGTAAAATATTTTCCAGAGCAGCAAGAAAGGCTACTCTTAATCCTTAAACCCAATTGAATGGCGGACGTTGAGGCAGAGGAAGAGGTTCCTCTAGAACAGCAGCCTGGGCAAGATGAGGGAGAAGCGGATGAAACTCTCGAGGGCGAGGATGAAGACGAACCTGAAGGTGAAGAAGAGGAGGAACTATCGTCAGGGGAGGAAAAGGATCCCTTTGAGCTCTTGGACGAGAGCGAGTCTGACGACGAGGAGGAACAGGCCATGTACAAGGAGTATCTGGATTTGATCAAAGAAATCGATGCCCAGAACCTGGTCATCCACGATCTGAAGGCAATGGCCACTGAGCTGAGGTGTAAAAGGTGCAAGACCTACAAGGACAAGGAAGAGTACAAGCATCTAAGGATCTGTCAAGAGCAGCATGACATACATCTGCAGCAGCTCATCAACCGGGCAACTCGCCTGCAAAACTTTGGATCGCGACGGCTATACGGAGAACTGGAGATGGAACTTACGGATGCTGAGGAGAGTTTCTTCTTTACGGGACTCGCATCAACCTCATTAACGGCGTGCGCTACATTCAAGGATGAGGAGAATTGCTGCAATAGAGGCTGCCCCTTCTGTTGGGAATCCGATTCTGACTCCGACTCGAAGGATTATGATCCAGCCTGCTGGACCGACTTCTAAGCCATTTAATTGGGGATATTGGTTGGGGTTATGTCTTGTACAGAAAATATTATGGTTTTATAAGAGAGTGTGTGTGGTATTTGAAGTATGACTAATGGGCATAAAGTTGACCATAAATGGATCCTTAACAGAAACTATACTCAAGCAACCCTTTCTTCGAGCACTTCTAGAAATCAATTTTTAAAAACTGTATCTGCAGATATTAATCTGTTTTAATGAGTCCATCAAATACACGCGGAAGGGCAATAAAAATGAATGCAGATACACTTTTGCCAACATCTTTTCAACCCTCTAGAACGGCACGGCATTTTCTCTAGCCCTTAATGCACGCATTTCCGTTTCCTCTATCGCCTGCTCGCCTCGCTTCCCTTATATTTTTCTTCCTCCACCATCAAGAATTTTATGTTTTATTGCAGCTGTTGCGCTGTCAACGCCCCACCGCTGCGCTCCACGTACGCCCCTCCAACACTGATACACGCTTTTATTGGCACTGTGATTTCTGGTGACTGAATCCACCGGATTACGCTTCAAGAAGCACTGCTTCCCCACTCGCATCCACATTCGCATTAATCATACAAAAAAAAAAACAGAACTCTTCTTGCAGAATGCAGTTTAATTTGGCATGAAGTCCTGTTCGCGGGAAGGTCGCTTCTTTGCTCTATCGGTAGTTAAGCGGTTTATCACCGATAACAACCTGTAAGCAAACCAAGCCAGTGGCATTTGATGACTCTCGCTGTAGCTGCTGCTGTTGCAATGGCACAAGTTGAGCCTTTTATGGCGTCATATTTTTATGGCGACATCATCAATGTGATGCCGGAAGATGGTATTAATGGCTGAATAGATCTGCATGAAATGTAAGCAAAATGTGACCAAAAAACATTCTTTCTGTGACAATGTTAGACAGAGAAAATGCCAATATGTAAGAATGTTCTAGATTGTCAAGAAAAATTATTGCACATTTACCCATTGGGATTGCTATCAAAATGTTAAGGAATTCTGAAGTCAAATACAAATTGAGTTTAAAATGTTTTCTATTTTTGTTACATTTAGACTTCCACAGCCTTGTAATATTACTAAAAAACTCTTGCCCAGGTTGGTATCTTATTAATACATAGTTGGCAGCATTTTCCTAGACTTAAATGAGCATACCAAATATCAAAATAGAAATTTCCCGCAGCATTAATCCATAGTTTAAGCTTAAACGCTTAGTGTTTACCCCTATGGTTTGAAGCCTGTTTGTGTTTTGTTGGTTAACCTTCTGTTTCTGGTTTATTTTTGGCACAATTCCCGCAGCCATTTGCTCTCGCGCGTCCCTGAAAATGACAGTTGGATTAGCTCTAACACATACACAAGAATCAAACGCGCAACACACACACAGATCCGTGACACGAATTCCCGACCCTTGTTATCCTGGCCAAGGACGCAATCTGTCGGTTGAGGAGGACGTTTTAAGGGGCCTGAGGCTGGTCTGCTTGGACTAGGATTCGGTTTTATCACAGCTAAATGCGCTTCGAAACGATTCAAGTCAAGATTACCCATACGACACGTTAAAAGCTTAAAGACTTAGCCTTCCATTGTCAAAATCAAATAAAGGACACAATTTCTCATTTACAAAAAGTTGAGAACAAACATAGGCGTGCAGGACCTAGCATACATCCTTTGAGTTTTCCCGAGTTTTATATCCTCGCAAAGCCGGCAAGAGGAGGATCTTTTTCAGCCTGGGTAAGATGCATGCAAGTTTTTCTTTGCCCATCTTGCAGAGTTTTCTTTTTGTGTTTTCTTTTGTTTTGCTTTCTCTGCGTTTTTGTCCTATTGTTGCTGCTGGTTTTTTGTTTATGCCTCTACTGCATAAAATGATTTCATTAAAAAAGTTGTAAACTTTTTCATTTAATTTAACTGCAGCAAACAACATCTTTTGTGCAGCCCATTCTCTTCCGTCTTTTCCTTTTCTCCGCGCTGGCAACTATCTTTTCAGTTAGCATCTGCTGCCAGGACTCGGATTCAGGTCCTCCACGCTCTGAGCCACGATTTGTATTCTCTTTTTTTCCTGGTGTTTGGCATGACTTTCAATTAAACTTTTCCATTTCAATTCATTGCAAATTTCGCAAGCTTGCTTACCCTAGGCCAATACAAATCCAGATTTGCCCAAAAGACAACATATTTAACGATCTGTTAAGAAAGTTTACCTTCTTTTTAATCTTCTCTCATAAATAAGTGGAACTTCGTTGATTTAAGAATGTTCTAGAATTTCAAACGCTACATTTTTCTTTACGACAAAAGTAAAACAAAAAGGACAACTTTTGTATTCAAGTTTTAAAGGTAAAACCTGACTTCAAAGAACCAACATATTAAGTCCTCTAAATTAGTATGTGGCACACATCTGATAATTTCCTCATCCAATTCGCATAATAAAACCTCAAGGGTATTTGGAGGGGTCGCGGCTTCAGCGAAGCTCGACTTCCTTTTTCTCTCTTTTATTTGTTATGTTTTTGTTATTCTTTTTAATCATCCAACATGCACAGAACATAATTTAATTAGGGCCATAATAGAGGGTTTGTGAGTGTGTGCCTGTGGAGTGTGTGTAAGCGCGCTGGGACCACCCCTCGAGACCCCATCATGCGGCACACGACACAACATGTCGTATTAGTAATATTTAAACACAAAAGCTCAGCAAATGTTGACATGCGTTGCCATTAGACGGACGTTACACAGCGATGCATTCTGACACGCACAAGGGATGATCGCTGGTGGTGAGAGGTGTGTGGGAACGGCGACCTATGTTAAAAGGAAATTCAATTTTCGCACTAAGCGAAAAAAAACCTACATAGAATGTACGAACCAATAATAACAACAATAATAAGCTGCTTAGGAGCCAGCGATGCGAAAGTGAAGAAATGCGTTGTAATTCCACATGATGAGCTGGGGGTCGCAGGAGTTGGAAACCCTCCACCCACCAGGGGGTGGCTTGAAGCCACTGTATATGTTAGCTTGCATGTCAAGGAATGCGGTTGCATGTGCCACGAGCAAGACTTCACTCACACTGAGAGAAAATAAAAGGAAGTATAACATTTTACAGCTTGGGAAATTCTTTTTTATGATTTTAGTCGAAAGAATTGGGCGTGACCAAATTTCCAACCAACTTGATCCAAGTGCACTCTATAAAATGTTTAAAGAAATAATTCTTGCTTGTTAATAACTCTAGCTTTCATAGTCTCTGAGAAATAAGTTAATATTCTCATTAGCGGAAAAATGGAAATGCGGATTTTTTTGTCTTGACCCTTGATCAGCCTGATCAAGAATAGGAGATCTATTTTATATCACCTAATTAAAAAATACGAATATTTTTATTCAAACTTTTTTCTCTGAAACATCTCCCTTCCCCCTGGTCAGGACTTAAGGCTGGTGGATGTGAGAGTGGGTCCGCGTGTGTTGTGTGTACTTTTCTATGAAATGTGTCATGTTGACATCGTGGAAATGTCACTCATGCGGCATCGTAATGAGTTTTGCCAGCGTCAGCAACGCTGCAACAAATGGAAATATATGGAAAATACAAGAGAAGCTGGGGGCTTTCCCAAGAAACATATTATTCTAATAAAGTTACATAATTTATTCATTTAAAAAAACAGAAGTTCTTATATTTAATAATTAATTAAAATATAAATATTCTTTTCAAGTCGCACAACAAAATTAACGTATTTCTAAATACGCAAGCCCCATTTATATTTCAAACTTATTCTTCATCATGTACACTACTTAGTTAGTTGCAACCATTTTCCAGTTTACAGCTTTCCTTCATAACAAAAAAAAAAAACATTTAAAAGCATCAGATAGATAAAAAAAAATAATTGCATGGCAAGACTGGTAGCATCAATGTAAAAAATATATCTAGTGAAAGCAGAAGGGAAATACAACGAGTGGGAGGAGACAAAAGCCTTCACTAGAGAAAATAAGACGAGAATAAATTTGCCTGTTGGCCATCATCATCAAAAAGTGTTTTGTTTTTGGCTTTTCAGCAAAAAAGAAGAAATAAGAAACCTACCCACCGAACACAATGAGCCTAACCACGCCACCCACATACAACATATAGCATATATAGTATTACGAACGTCCAACGTAACCGTAGACGTAGACGCAAACGTAGACCGGAACCAAGAGAGGGAGAGAGAGGAGAAAGCTACCATCGTAGAATATCCGTTGTAGTAGAATTTCACAATAATTGCAATGCAGTTCCACCCACCCACACACACACAAACACACAAGGAAAAATATAAATATATATAGTATATATAGTAGTATAGTATAGTCTACGGTATGCTCTATATACTTTTGCCTTTTTCGTGTCAGGGAGAAAGAGAGAGAGAGAAAGAGCGACAGAAGCGAGAGTGAAAGGGAATGCAGCAAGAGAAATATCGATCGATTTTTAAATGAATTTAGGTCACAGCAAGAGCCCCCCATTCGACGCCGCCCATTTCCCTGGGGGCAACTGCATTGCATGGAAGGGGTCTTGGGGTTTGCATCTCTCGCAGATACAACCGAAATGAAAATGTCAGCCTGCCTGAAACGCCGCCTGCCTTCTGCCCACGTAACTTATTTTAATTCAAATCAAATGGGGAAAATAGATTGAAATGAAGATGACGCAGGCAGCGGTGGAAGTTCGTTTGAAAAATATCTGAGGAGTAGCTTGGGAAAGGGACTGAGACTCAAATTGGGATTCCGACAGATATTTGGGGGAATGATGGGAAATAGAAGGCGGAGAAACGTTATACAGTAGGAAGATCACGCACTCAGAGCTTTTTCCATGGCCTTGCCAGAAGGAATAATAGTGCATTCAAATAGTGCATCGCCAGAAACAAGAGAGAAAGTCTGTATAATATTTGTATACGATAAGATATTGATGTGATTACTGATATAAGCCAGTGAATATGGCACAAATGGCATCATTGCAAAAACGACAGAGTCACTGATGACTTAATGAACATAGTCAAGGCAGGTATTAGATGTAATGCAGATATGCAGATTGATATATTCAGATGAATTAATGAACCATGTCATAACTGGCATCACTTT